TGTCCTGGATATTTTACTATATGAGGGTAAATGAACAGGCTGTTAAGATCTCTATAGAACCAACAATATAATTAAAAAAAGCAGGGTCGAGGTATTTTCCGAACTCTGGCTTTCAAACAGCCAACAGCAAGGCATTGAATTGGCTAAAGATCTTTTCAATTTGGAAACCCCTGATAAAATTTAAACATGTTACAAATCTAAACAGGCGATACAGTAAAAATCGACAAGTCTATTATTAAAATAGTTACTGTACTGAGATTATTCAATGAGAAATAAATACATAAAATTCTTAGCCTCGAGTTTGTATATATTCAAGGTAAAAATAACTCCTAGTCTCTCTTCTCCCGCCCAAAATCTTGGCTAGTCCAAATTTTTTTGAATTCAGAATGGGAGGTAAATAATTTTCATGTTAATATTATTAAACCTTTCTCCAACTTGGTATCCCAGTGATTTCTTCTCTGCAAGAAAAAGGATTATAGTGTTCAATGACTAATTTGCTACACATTTCCACAAAATCTTTTTCCTTTTATTTTTGATTGTTTCATTTTTAAATTCATTTTCTCTCTCTATCATAGTATCTATCTGACATTCACAGCAAAACATTTAGATTCTCAATTAATAACATGTATTGTTTGTAAAAAGTTGTAAACACATTCTAATCTGATGGATCAATTGTTGAGAATTTATTCCCCTACAACATTATTTTCATCAAAAATTCTAATTGAGATTTACTTAATTTATTATACACCTTCTCCAAAGTCATCACATTTATAATAAAGTTTCTTCCTCACAGTCATACATATCTCAGTGACCTGATGAAAAGCAAATACCTGACCTTCACAGGGAACTTAAAGTCACATCGTTACTTCCTAAATTGTTCTCATTGACACCTTTCATACCGTTTCAATCAGTATTGTGCCAAACATCTTCCCTGGCACACTTAACAAGCTAATCCCTCTGCTTGTACTTCTGCTGTCCTTTCTTTTGTAATCAGGAACAATGACTGCATTTTTATAATGATCAGGCACAGGTGCAGTCTTTATATACACATGAAACAGATCATATGCCGTTCTATAAGCAAACTATATTCATTTTTTAAAATATTTCCAGTTGCATCTTCTACAGTCTAATATTTTTTTCAGATTGTCACAGCATTCAACCAACTTTTATTTGTTTCTTTGGACTCTTAACATTAATAGCATTTGTTACCATTTCACAGCTATATACACAGTTATATATAATTTCTATACAATCCTCTGAAACATTCAATCTATCATTCTCTCATGTTAGTTTTACCTCATATAATTTCATTAATTTTTGTTCTTAGTTTCATCCATTCTGCTGGAGGTCCTCATTTAGCCTCTTTCAGCTATTTTCTTTTACTTTCATAAAATCATTTTGTAATTCTTGTGCTCTTAGCTATTTCTTACTGCCTTTGATGACATTTTTTTGAAATTACAGTTGTCTCAACATACATATTTTACAGTATTTTTCTTTTTTCACTTTTAGCAACTCCCCCCCCCCCATTTACAGTCTTCTTCATCATGCATCAATTATCTTTTTCCATGCTTCCCACTAGGCCTCATCCTCTTATTTGGCATAATTCTTTTCACTCTATTCCAAGCAGTTTCCATATCCTCTTTCCCTACATCCTCTTTTGATTTATTTTCTTTGGAGATTAATCTTTTTTTCTAACAGTTCTTCATGTGGAGCTCAATCTTTCCCTGCAATCATTCTATTTTCACTCTCATTCTTGTTACTTATTGCTTTATTTTTTCCAGAGATCTGCTCTTCGATTTAGCAAGAAATTGTCCCTCATTCAACACCTTTCTAAACGTAAAAAGAATCATAAAAGAGTGAAGTCCCTTGTTCTTAGGGGCAGATAACTATTGTCCACAGGCCAGGTGCAGCCTTGCTACCCATAAGTCTCACCATTAAAAGCATCTGCAGGTTCCAAAAATCCAGATCTTCCCCAAATCCCCCCCCCCCCCCGCTTTCCTGAAATCTTATGTCTTCATGGTCAGAACTCTCGATGTCTAAACATTGGATCCTGGAACAATAATCCAGGATAAAGCAAGAAAGTCTGGATCTTCAGAAAGTATGGATTCACGGACTGATATTTTTTAGTCCCCAAGAGAGAATTGAATTTCCAAGTTTATTCACCTCTTCGCTAATTTTTAGAAGAAGGCATGCTGGATATCCAGAACCATGAACAGGTGCAAGATGCACTGCAACTAATTTATTATCAGTGAGGTGTTCATTCAGTGGTAAGCACGATACAAAATTAACTGAAGTTGCCTCTGCCTACATTTGCAATAACAAATGAGAGACAAAAACGATAAACAATTAGGATGGGAGGAGAAAGCTGTCCGTGCATTAAAGAAAGAATGAAAAGGAAGAACAAAGAGACACATGAATTGAAAAATTCAAAAGATAATTTGAGTTCATAATTCTGTGTTAGATAAGGAGAAGATCAATTAAGGATTTTGTGGGAGGTACTTTCTACCTTAAAAGGTCATGAGAGAATGCACGGAGATGCAAGCAGGTCAATCAGAAAGAGAAAGGCTTCATTGGCAAATTAATGTTTGATCAACTGGGAGGATCTGAATGAGAAAGCAAAGGAAAAACAATAAAAACATGGAAATGCTTTACTACAGAGTTGGGCAAATCTCTTTGTAGTTTAAGACAACACTGATTTAAATTGATAGTGGGAGGTGGGAATCCAAATACTATCTGGGCAGAGTGCTAATGAATTGACATCACTGGAAAGAAAAAGGCTAGAATTCCCACTTCCCTTTAGGTGACAGTGAGGGGAACATAAGGATTTGAGAGGAGTAAGTAAAATAGGTAAAGAGCAAATTGTAGCACTGCCAAAGAGGAGGAGGCTAGAGTTTGCTGCCAACTGGCCTGCCCTATTCTTAAAACATTGGGGGGTTCTCAGCATACATTCTTTCCCCTCTGTACTACTTTATAGGTTTCCAAGATGAGTTGTCTCATCTTCAAATAAATATATTTGACTGTATTTTGAATAAATAATTTTGAATTAAAATCCCCATTTTCCCAATATTTCATAAGCATTACAATTCTTGGAATATTTGTTTTATATTCATATCCCAGCATCTCCTTTTTCCTGTTTGAAACCCTAGAGAGTTACTGCCAGTCAATGTTAAGCTAAACAAACCAGTGTGAGTTGAATCACAATCTGTTTCAGTGTTGACTTACCTTTTGGATACTTGCTCTATCCTGGAGAGTTTCCCTGATACTTTCCCAGTTTGTCCACATTCTTTAACTATCTGGTGCAAAGTTGGTCACAGGACTCCAGAGAGAGGTTTTTAAATTCTCCAAACTGAAGACCCAGGATATTTTTTAGATGTCTGAAAGACACATGGCTATCAATTAAAAGCTTTTTCCCCCTCCATCCTATCTCCTACCCATTCTGCAAATGTGCTTCTTGCCCCCCCTCCCTGTTTCTTCTTTCTTTGCTTCCTCTAAGTCCAGTAATTTCATCCTTTGCCCAATTGAAACTGGACTAAGCTCAGCTCAAGTGTTCTGGGTGGGTCAAAGGTTCACTGCAAAGGTCACGGGGGGTCAATGTATAGCCATCCCAGGTCAATAGGCAACAGATCACCCCTTAAATTCTATACCAGGCACTTATACAAAACAGAAAAATAGAAGAATCCATTCAAACTATTAACAGCCTTGTCAATCAAAACAAAGGCATGAGAAATACTAGGGAAAGAATGAAAGAGGGAAGAAAGGAGAAACGAAGCAAGCCATACCTTTAGTAGAATGAAAAAGATGAAGTTCTATGGAAGCATATGCATCTCTTTGGTTCTTACAACCACTTAAAAACTTTAAGAAAATGCACAAAATATCTTGCTAATAATGTATAAGTTTCTGTGTCTTAAAAGTTGCCTCATAATGCATAGAGATGTTATCTATATACCTATAGAGATAAATCTATAAAGTATTTAGAAATAATACATCTATACTAGCGATATTAATGTTTATTGCTTACAATTCTCATATATTTCCAGAGATGAAAAGATGACAATATAATTGAAAAATAAGGGACTACAAAGAACTACAAAAATATAGAATTTGCATTTTATAATATATCTTGTTGATAAACACATTTGCATAGTTATAGATCATAAAAATTTTATTTTTAAAAATTACAAAACAATAAGACATTAATAAAACATACAGAGTTATAGCACACTGAAATTTGCCACAGGACATAACAAACCAAGACCCATTCTGCAAAATAAAATACTTTTTGTTAACAAAAATACATAATTTAAATCATTCAAGAACATCCCAAGTGATAAAAAATTTATTTTCTTAATATACCACAATTGCATTCTTTTTAAAAAAATGTTTATATTAGATCTAAGAAAGTATTTTTAAATATCTATTAAATCAAACATTTATATATTTCATTATATTAAAAAAGTGGTGACTTTTTAAGTACATAAAATGCAGATGAACAGAAACAGGCTAAAAAGAAAGCAAATCACAAATCTAACTAGGAAGAATAAACAAGGAGAGAAAATAATTTTTTAGACAACAGAACTTATAATTTAGAATATTACTGCTTTTGCATATTTCCAAATGAAAGCTTATTATTTTGGATCTGCAAAATTGCAATCTTCACAAGCGGTACTAATGTCTAAGTTAGTACTTCATTCATCAGCTAGAAACATACCTCCCCATCAAATATTGAGGTATTATGTTCAGAAGTAAGATACAAAAAGCATGTCATTCTCATGAGGTTAAAACCAAGCTTAGCCATGCATAGAAATGTCCTATTAAAATTAATGGGACAAATCATAATTAACTTAAGATCCCCTGTTTTCATTGCATCTTTTATAATGCAGTACACAACAACTAGTGAACTGGTAGCAATTCCACCAGAGCATAAGGAGCAGCAAATGGCTCTGTTAATGTCAAAAGTTCTTTTTTAAATATTAAAATTTGATGTAAAGATTTTTTTAAAAAAAAGATCTTAAAAAATATTACCCCAACATAGGATCTTTTTTTAAATGTACTTGGACTATAAATTCTAAGTCCAGGCACCAGCTTAAGAATGCTAATGTAAAATACTTTAAAATAACAAATTGTGTAATGGAGTACACAAAAATAGAAATTGTCTTTAAAACTGAACATATATCATCTATTCAATTAAAAAGAATCCAGATAGATATATAGAAAATATTAAAATAGAGAAATGAATGTCTTAATCCTGCCATTTATTTGGAAGAATAAATTTTATTTCTGAGGACATAAATACAAAATTAAGCTGTGACAAAGAAAACTTATACAATTCTAATCAGAAATAACTCTCTGAAGTGAATGATATTTGCAACCCAAATGACTCTTGTGAATACAATTTTGATAGGAAAAAGTTGAAAAATGATGTGAGAATTTTCTTATTAGTCAGATAAGGAACAATAATTATTTCTTAATCACCTCAAATAATATGCTTTAGATGATTGCTTCCATAATCATTCCCTTCTCATCTGACATCAAATTTGCAAGTCTTCTCTTGCAAAAATAAATGTTACTTTTCTTAGGAAAGAGTCAATTTTTTAAAAAGCTGAGAAACAAATCACTGTAGAATATGGAAAATGTCAAAGGAAGGCAGAAATATGGTACAGTTCCTTTTACCCCTGTCCTGAAGATTGATGCATGAATATTTTTCCTTGGAAATGTACAAACTCATTCTTTTGAAAGGAGATAATTATGTTAGTATGGGTGGTGGACAATAAAGCTATTCCTACAAAACAACTATTGGGGAAAATATAAATGAAAAAAATAAAAACAAAATTCCCAGAAAAACATGTAAGATGGAAACAGGTTGGAAACAGGTCACAGTAGTTTTTTTTTTTAATGTATGTTTCGTTTCCTCCATAAACATATCTCTCCTGAAATAGGAAACTGATTTGATTATGACATAAAGCATTTCACAGAAGCACAATTATTTATTGTTTTTTCCTTTAATTCTCTTCAGGGACTTGGTACAGAGTATTTCTCAAGTGCATAATGAATTGTAGTGAAGCAGAAAAAAGATTTGCTCCTGCCCCTTCCCACTGTAAAATGCTATGTTGAAAATTGCTTAGAGCGGGGATATTTCTTCTTTTTCTTTTCTTTATTGTATAGCATACAGTGCCAAGTGATGTTTGGTATATTACTGTCCTCTTGTGCAAATTTTCAGGTTGAAAAAGAAGCAGACTTTGACAACTTTCTTCTGAAAACACTTTTTCAAGCATAAAAGGGATAAACAATCCTAAAATGAAAATGAAATGAAGATTTACAAGGTAATCCTAAATATATTTTATTGGAAGCAAGCCTTTTTTTTTACAGCAAATGATCACACTCCCAAATAAAAAGGGGCAGTCGGTATTCAAGAGCTGACGTCTTCTCAGCCAAACGTTTGCTACTGAAACTGCTAACTACTAACAAAATAAATAAGTAGGAAACGTGATTCTAAAGTTTCACTCAATATTGATTTCAAACAACCATATATGTCTAATGATATAATCCTTTTTGAAAGGAAAAAAGCAGTGAGTTGCTTTGATTTCATCAGCTGCCATATATTTCATTCCCCTCCTGTAGCCTTAATTCGATGTTTTTGAAGATTGAGCTATTTGTATATGACCAATGATATATTGTTCAATTTATCTCCAGTGCAATAGAAAGATGTACTGTATCTAAATGAGCATTTGTTTCACTTAAGAACAATAGAGGAGAGACTATCCATGTCAGGATTAAACATTAGGATGGATCGTTGATTTGTTCTATGCTTAAGAAATGTCCTTAAGACTTACCTGTTCAGAAGTCTCATCATCAATGTAGAATTACACCTGAAATCTGGGTTCTGAGATCAATTGTTGCACATTTATATGGAATAAAGACTGGTTGGATTTCATGGACTTACTCCCAAGTCTGTACTAGATCTAAACTTATAGCTTTTTTATTATTAAAGAAGAGAAGAAAACAGTCTTCTGTAGAGTCGTTACTATTGTTTTCTTAGCAAAAAAAATCAAATAAATGCTTCTTAGACTTATTTTACTTCTGGACTTGCATTGAACCTCTAAACTTCTGGTAGGCAGCCAGACAATTAATGTTTTTCTAACTATGTATCTTTTCTTCCTCACAAAATGTGTCTACACTGAAAACAAAATGTCAGAGCTCAATCCATTTTAATGCATATGTTTTGTTTTAGTAATTTAGTAATGCAAGACTGTGCTTAGTAGTGTAGTACAGGCAGCAGTCTACCACACAACATCAATAACAACAAATCTAAGAATTATTGAGAACAGAAACTTATTTTCTCCTTCCTTCCTCATTCCTCCCTCCCTAACTGGAGATGGGATATTTCTGAGAAGACCCAGAATTTCATTCTGATATTTTGGGTTCCAGGTAAAAAAAGACATCTATACAAGCCCTTGATATTTTCCAAAAGGTGTCACCAAACTGCACTTTTTACATTGAATGTGAAAGCTATTAAGTACATTTAATTCATCATTTCACTTTAATTAATTAAATCAAATTTAGTTTTATCTTGGCCGAGCCAATTCAGTCTGACAGAGAGGGAGACCTCAGCCTGGAGATTCTCTATAGTAAATTCATTTTTTTAAGGCTAAAAAGGTAAGAATTCAAAATGGGAAAATTAAAATAATATAGGCAAGTTGAACATTGAAACAGATGCAGCAGGAAAATGATGGGAAGGGTGAGTTATTTTGTATTATTCTGAAAATGACCTTGTGGGTATTTATACAAAAATCTCCACATAAGGGAATTCAAAAATACCATAAATATTTTTGCCGGTGAAGCAGTTTGCCTCCAGCTAAGCCTTTTAAAAGGGAATAATATTCACCTGAAACTTCCCTCGTGTTGAAATTCTTCAAATCCTACAGAACAACATTTTAGAGCTAGCATTAAGTTATTTTGCTTGATCAAATTGTTCTGCAACATTATTTTTAGTTTGTAAATAAGATTTTAATGTTTCTTTAAGATGCTCTGTTTATCTTATTTTGATAATAGCATCAGGGATTCCCAGTCCAAAACATAAAAAAATTGCATACTCATTTTATGCAAAACAAAAAAACCTTACCCAACCTCTGGGTACCACATTTTATTAACACAACTAGGAAACATGCAGACAAATAAGTACCATCAAGTATTGTCCATATACATGACTATCAAATTCATTATCTACTGTATTATTGGATTGCTAGAAATGAGAATTGGTACTCTTATGGATCCAATTTAAGGAAGGAACATCCTGTTCCTGTTCCCTTAAGTTTGTCCTTTGCTATATTTTTGCTTTGACAGATCTACTAAGGTAGTTCTTAACACACATAAGGCTGAATAATATCTTCAATATTTACATCTGCATATACAGGAAGAGACAGAGATAAAACATTCAATTGATTCTCATGGAAATCAAATAGCTTTAAACCACTTTAGTGATCTTCAGATTATAGCTTTAAACTATTCAGTCCAGTGGGCATTCAGTTATTTTCTTGCATTCGTTTCATTACTCGAAGTAACATCATCAGTGCTAGTAAGGCTGGTTCTCAGTTTATGTTCTAGTGGCTTGCCTGTCAATATCAGTGTAAGTGGACTTAGAGGTTCTTTGATTGGCCTGTTTAGTGTCATCCAGTCTAACTAAAGAATTTCTAAGACCATCCCAACCAACACTGACGGGGCAAGCACTAGAATATAAACTGAGAGTCAACTCCACTCCTTATTAGCCCTGATGATGTTACTTAGTTTGGGTAATGAAATGTCTGCAAGAAAATAACCAAGCTCACAGAGTACCAAGGAACCCTCGTTTCAATCCCGAGCCACAAATATTCTCCTTTATTGGAATCCAATTTATTATGACCAGCCAGTCTTATTTCACCGAATAAATCAATTCTCCAGTATAGATTATTTACGCTCCCAACTCTGTGTTAGAGAAATGTTAGATTTTCAAAATCAAGGCCATTTTTTAAAAAAAAGACCATTTTTTATTTTCTTTTTTTACAGAGCCAGTAGAAGCTGTAATTCCCCCCTTTACAAAGGTCCCAATTAAGTTTCATATTGGAACAGATAGGCTTATATGTAACTGAATGGCATGATATTAATTCGTCTTAGCTGAGCCACCAGAAATAAAACATGTGCCCTCCACATTACAATACCCCACCCCACCCCAATCAATGTGTCCAATGGAAAGGCATGCTAAGAGTTCATAGTTCAGCCATATGTGGAAAGTGGATGTTGTTCGGTGCTGGCTAGGAAATTCTGGGAGTTGAAGTCCACTCATTTTAGAGTTACTCAGGCTGAGAAACACTGGCTTAGATAATTATATAAAAAAAAAACTGAACATGAGGCTGGGCCCTGTAGCTGCAGTTGATCTACAATAGTTACAAAATTATTAACCAGAACTGAATTATTTGTTAATATACCTCGGTTTTGTCTGCTACATTGACATTCAGTCTATTTAGATTAAAGGTTTAATCTAAAATAGACATGCTTCCCCAAATATTATGTTCTCTCTTAATGTATGATATTTATCCAAGTTGCCTTTTCTATAATATAGTTAAGGATATGGCTTTCAAGGGAAGATTCCACTTAGTAGGGAAACCCAGCCATACACTAGTCCCCTAGAGAAGTTTCTCAGCATCACTTCCTGATGTTTTTTAACAGTAGCCAGACATTTTATTCATCTTTGTTGTTGTTGTTAGATGCGAAGTCGTGTCTGACCCATCGTGACCCCATGGACAATGTTCCTCCAGGCCTTCCTGTCCTCTACCATCTTCTGGAATCCATTTAAGCTTCAGTGACTCCATCCAACCACCTCATTTTCTGTCATCCCCTTCTTCTTTTGCCCTCAATCCTTCCCAGCATTATGCTTTTCTCCAGTGAGATTTATAACATTTATAAGTCAATATCCCTCAGTTACGTGAATTTTATATTTTAATACTGTTTCTATAGAGACAGAAAGCCTTGTTTGTGCTCCAGGTCTAGGGAAACTTACTTGGGAATGATTTTCATTGGACTGTGAGTTGTAGCCCATGATTTCAGTCTCAAGGTTCCAGATATCACCGTCAGCAGATAATAGAAAAGAATTCTCTCTGATAATGGGGAGATATTGCCAGAGTAGGTAAATAGTATGACTGAGAGGAAAACAATCCCTAAATCCTTTCTGGATAAGACTGCCCATTGGAAGAAAGGTCCTAGGTCACCCAAAAGCAAAGAAGCACTTTGCTCACACTTTCTAGACAACAAATTACCATAGCTGACTGTAGCTTTATGCAGAAGCTCATCTGACCTCCATAAATACCCAGTTAACTCCAATATTTCTTTTTCAACAATTTGATTTACTGGCAGTGGCTGCTGTTCTTTATTTTACAGCTAAAAAAAGTGTGGTTTTATTACATTCATACCCTACCTTGACTCCAAAGTGCTCAAAGCAGTGGACATTATCTGTTCCTCCTTTTTATCATTTCTACAACCTGTGAGATAACTTAGATTGAGAGCTCGTGACCAGCACAAGGTCACCATTGAATTTCACAGCCAAGCATAGATTGGTTCTTCAGATGGATGTCTCCAAATCATCCATTATCAAAAAGTCTAAACAATGTTGATTACAACATCCAAGATTCATTATATCATTGTCCTCCTTAAACAAATCCTAGAAAGATAGCTGCTGATTGATTTACTTAACATATCAGGAGAGTCACACTGACATCTGAATATACCCAGGGAAAGATTTTGAACCCTTATTTAAAAAAAAAAAACTCACAAAATTATTTCAATTCCTATATGTGGAATTTTCTTTTCTATTTTGATTCCTCATTTCCAAGATCTGGCTTAATGGGATAGGTTGAAGGTACTTCACTTACGTCACCAAGAAGTGGCTACATGGCCACAGGCAAGACACTAATGGTTAAGTATAATACATGGATAACAATACTGATTTACATTACATGGTGTCTTTGCAGATTACAGAACTAATGTATGTGAAACACTTGAGAGAGTACTACTTAAAAATCCAAATAAACTTTACTGTTTTTTCAGCTGTTTAACTTTCAAGTCATATCATGGCTTTAAAGTTATCCATCAAAGCAAAACTTTCACAGTTTGAATTAATTTTTAACTTCCATGCTTAAAGAGCAGTTTGGGGCAACCTTTCCCATCCTACTACCCTCCAGATGTTTTGTACTATAAATCCTTAATCCCAAACCAAGCATCTTGAAGGCATGAGGTTGGGGAAGGCTGCCTTTAAGGGCATACAGCTTGTGTTCCTTCACCTTACGTAAAACCCTTTGTGAGGCTATTTTACCTTCAACCTGAGCATGTGAGGTTTTTTATTCTTTGCAGGAAACTAACACTGAAGTAACAAATGGCCACTGTTCATTTTTGCAATGCCCATGATAAAATGAAACGTGACAACAAAAGTTCTGCTCTTTGTTTCAAACAGACGCAAAACAGCTGTTTTCATATGAAACACTATACAGCTGGAATATCTACACAGATGAATAGTTTGGTCCCTTTATTTGGGAAATTAATCATTTGCAGTAACTATTCTAATGAATTTGTTCGGGATTGTTTCCATCTATAAGGGTCTAAAGCAGTGTATTATGATTTTGTATAAGCTATCAAACTATGTGCAATGTGAAATCCCAAAGTGAAATAGACTCTCATGTCAAAAATTGACTCATGCCAAAAGATGTTAAAATTTGTTCTAATGCCAAATTCAGGTTGCACATTTTTTAAAATGATGTGGAGGTGATAAGGTTTTCAGCCTGAGGGGTCCTCCGTACTCTCTGAGCTTTGTTTTCTTGCAGGTGTTTATTATCCAAACTAGGTAACATGCGTATTAGACTAACTGGGATGATGCTACCTCCTTTAGGTAATGAAATATCAACAAAAAAACAAACAAGCTCAGATAGCACTAAGGACCTCTCATTTCAACCCTGAGCTATAATTATTCTCTTTTTTGTTTTGTAGTCTGATATATTTGTATTGGAAAAACTGATTCAGAAACAGATGAATATTAGCAATTAATCAAATTAAATCCTCCCAAACTCTTAATAAGTTTGGAGTAATGTATTTTGTAGCAATTGCTTAACATGCTGGACATATAAGGAAGGACACACACTTAGACCACATCTGGACTAACATTGAAGAGTGTGATCCTTAACTATCAATGCACACGGTAGATCTCTATGGCTCCTAAGGGATACTTCACATAATACACAGAGGAAAACTAAAACTGGGCACAAGGATACATTTAGCAGAAGAATGCAACCCTAGCGCTCCAGTAGATGTGTATAGATTGTGTCTGTCAGGCTTTGGCATGTCACATTGTTAGGTTAAATATTTGAAACATCTCATACAGAATATGTTAAGGAAGAGCATGTAGATTTCTCTCCAAATGATTTAATTTAATGACCAAATTGGATAAATAAGCTGTGTGCCTAACTCCTAGTTTATTCAAGAAAAAGGAAAAGGAATTGCAGATTAATTTTAAGAACTGGGGGATTGTAAACCCTCACCAACTATTTATTTTCCTGCATTATGAAACTTCAGGAAAATTTTGCACAGCTGAGTTTACTTTTATTATATGAGCTTAATAACCGAATCTTGCTCTTAACATCTTCTGTTTTCTATGTGATTTAGGCTTAAACACACAGGTCTGACCCTTTGCAGGAAGTAAGACACAAAATGTAGATTACTGAATTGTGTGTGAGTACAATCTCCAATCAACTGATATCAGAACAGCAGAATTATACTCACATTGAAATGAATAATTTTTTTGTTTTTTAAAAAGTACCCATTATTTGGCTAAATAGATGTGGATAAGAAGTGGACATTGCTGAGAAATGTGTTCCTTTTAAAAGTATGCTACTTACAACCACCAAAATACATTTCATATTTCCTACCTATAAATTATAGGACATCTTCATCAAGGAGGGACCCCTCAAAGTGCCTACAAAGCAATATTTGGGAGGACAATGGGTTCCATCTCTGGAAAGATATGCTACGCAAGGCAAAGCAAGGTGAATGGGAGATGGAGGCACAAGTTGCAAGATTTCCAGTTACCTTGAGGAGAAGAGTTTCCCAAGGAATTGTGCCCAGCAAGTAAATTGGCGCCACTCCACTTCTTCAGGCTGCTTGCAAAATTAAAGCAGTTTACAACTCCAGCTTCCCAGGAAAACAAAAAAACATCAGGGATCTTCTCACTTCTGAAAAAAAAAAAAAAAAGACAGGCCCTTCACTTCCTCCCCTCCCCTCATCGGCTCTGTGTGGAAAAGAAAAAAAGGGGAGGGAAAAACGCAGGGCAGTGGGAGTCTTCTTTTAATCGGCCAGAATCACAACAATTCAACCCAAAGGGTGTAACACAGCTGAATATTTTCTGTTCTATGAAAGGATTGGTATAAATTTTAGGATTTGATTTTTATTTCGGAGAGAGATGGAGGGAAATTCTTAGGCAATTTAAATTATTTAGATTTCGTAGCTTTCTTCATGCCGTAAAGGTTTCCTCTGCTGATTTCCACGTTTTTGGATGTATTTAGAAACAATGGAAACACCAATTGGAGGGTTATTTACATAAATGATTAGAAAAACATGCAAATGCTGGACTCTATGATTGTTGTTTTACACTACTATTTGTTTGTTTTTATGATTCACAAAGTTGTCACTTACCAGGAATTGCTTCAATTAAGAGACTATAATACTAAGCTTTAATATTTAAGATTGCATTTTTATTCACCATCATTTGGTTAGTTTCTAAATATTGTTACAACAAAGGGATACCTACATATTAAGGAAACTCAGGCTGCAATTTTATACATATTTATCTAGAGTATGCCCCAATGATTTCAGTATTATTTCTGAGACGACAGAATTGTACTAATAGGATCACAATTTTAAGTGAACTCAATAGAAAAGACAGAAGCAAGGATGTCTAGGTCAGGCTTTATGTTAATATATTTTAATCATTTTTTAAATCTTGTTTGCGAAAGAGATTTAGACTGTAAGATATTTTGCAAAATGAAAAATTTATTATTTCATTTTCTTTCAATATTGTTTGATGTTTGTAGCCCACTTTATACTCTGAGCCAAAAAGAAATTTGGATTCCTTTTCAAAATTTAGTTTTTTAACAAGTAAAACTGAACTTCTTGCCAAATCTCCATTAAATTATTTTTAAAAGAAGAAGAATCCTATGTGGATAATATTTGCTGAAGAAAAATGTCTCCCTATGGAGAGAAGATATTGGGGTAAACATTGTTAGAATAGGGAAGGAAGATAGTTAGATACTAATAACCTCCAAAAATAGCAACAGAAAGTTCTAGAAGCCTTTCAAAGATATCAGTTAAAACCTATATCAGTGGAATAGCAGCAATTCTTTAGAATTGAAAGCTGAGGTATGAAAGAAAGAAAGAAAGAAAGAAAGAAAGAAAGAAAGAAAGAAAGAAAGAAAGAAAGAAAGAGTACAAACTTATGATTCACTACCACATTCTTAGAAAGGGGACAAGTTCTTCCAAATCATGAATAAAAAAATTAGGATGCTCTTGTGCATCCTCATTGTAATACATGTGATTGTTCAGCATTACTTTGTGCCAGGTTATGGCTCAACTTGCATTAGTTTAGAGGTAAAAATGATAACATTAAGATCAACTACCGGGTTATTCCCTTATGGTACAAAGAAAAACTCATTTTCTTCAGAGTATGTTTCAACAAAAGTTTACCATTATCATAAATGATTGCAAAAGGAAGAGATAGACGCACAGACAGAAGTATGACCAAAAATTCCAAAATCTTCATCTCCTTTCTCATTCAATGTATTTCCAGACGCTAGTAGGCTAATATCCAGATGAACTCAGTAAAATGTGTTTAAAGTACGTTGAGTCCTGTGTTATATTGTGGCCTATCACTTCAGTCTAGAACGAGAGCTAGAGAAACAGAGAACTGACACCCTCCAGGATACAGAGCAACTAGTGTGCAAGCTTGAACATCCCAATTTCCTACAGGGGCACAACCCATCTGCTCCAGCAATTTGTGACACAATACATTATCGTTCTTGTGCAAGCTTCTTCACCCTTGATGTAGGAAATGCACATTTAGAAATCCAGTCCTGCATTGCAATTTCACTGGCTTGATAGGATTAATTAAAATTATCACCTATGCATTCTCCTTCACTGGAACAAAACATTGCTTGGGTATCCCTAAGTTACAACATTCTAATGATTCTGAACACATTTACTTAAAATAAATTCCTCTGAAACTAGCAAGTTCAGGATGATACAGGTCTATTCAGAACTAAAGCTCACTGAAATACATAAAACTTACACCAAGGTAAATATGACTAAGAGTTCTTCAATTAGAATTGTGCTTCTCCTCTTAACTCCAACAACCTGTAGGCTCAACAGAGGCAAATGGGAATCATATGCCAAAATGTATATCAATAACCTTGACACCTTACATATTGAAGCAGATTTATAAGACATATAGGTATCAAAGCTGAGAACATTCATAAATAGTGTCAAACATTTACCTATCTGATGGGAAAGTTCCTCACGTTAAAAATAAAGAACTGGGAAGAGATTTTGTAGAATATTTATGAGAGCCAAAACTTCTAATTTCAAAGCATCATTGGTATGAATGATTAAAAGACATACTTTACACAATGGCAAATGCTTGGTTGGCAGTTGGTTTTACAGGAGCATAGTTTGTACTTACCAAACAGAAGAAATCACTTAAGATGTGTAGGGCAACTCTAAGAACGAAAATGTTATGAAGAATTATAGAAAGAAATTAACTCAGGCAAAAGATAAGATCAATGTGTGTAAAATATTTGATGTGAGCTATGAATCAGGCAATGTATGTATGGAATCTGATATGTACCTGGATACGTTTAATTTTCTTCTATTTTAAAAGGGTTTGAAGTGTGAAAGCACGTTCAATGTAATATCAGAAATCAATGTTTTTCTTATTCAGATTCAAATTAATTTATTTTCACACTGGCTTTTTCATTTTTAAGTTTTGTATATATCCTGCTCTGGGCTTTGGCTACAGAGCTGAAAATCAATCCATATTTTTTATTTTTATTTTTTTTACAAAACACACATTCTGTGTTTTTACAGATCTTTCATTTACTTCATGTCATGTAGGACAGGCATATCTCAGCTTCCTCCACTATATGCTAAATATGTTTTTAATATAACATAATCCTATGAATATTTATCCAAGAGTTTATCCAATTGTATTTAAGGCAGCTTACTTGTAGGATATTATATGCAAGATTGCAACTTAAGTTATAAACTGATGAAAACTGCAATAATCTTCTTAGGAAATAATAATAATAATAATAATCATCATCATCATCATCATCATCATCATCTGTGGTGAAAAACAAAATTATTCTGAGAGTTGGATATCTATACATCTTACAAGAGAATTCCCCTGATCCTTAAGAGCATTCTCCCAATCTTTAAATATTAAATAAAGGCTGTAATGGTTGAAGATCGATTTTTAAAATTTGGCTAATTGTTGCTTGTATAACAAGCTTTTTTTGTAGACAAACATGAACGCATGGCATTCTTGAGCAGAAATTTTTTGGGACAAATTCTAACATTAATAAAAATATTGGAGCAAATTCTAAAATTAATAAAAATATCAACACCCGTAATACAAAAATCATTTCCAAAAAGAGATATTATTTTTAAAATTAGGCCTTTAGTTTTATACACACATACCTATAGACTATGCAGAAAGAAAACGATTCAGTTCATTGAAAAAAATGAAAAGATCAATAAACATATTCTATAAAAATGCAGTTGTCTTCCAGATTTGAGTTCAAAAATAAGATTAGAACGATTAAGTTTCAGGAAAACAAGCCAACGTATATATGGAATCACACCTGTTTGGATACATATATAAAAATATTCCCATTCATTTTCTCTGAACATGTATGAAGTATATGAAACTCCTTTCCAGCTTGGAGGGTATCGGATTGACTTTTAAATGAAATGGGTATGTATATGTATACGTGTGTGTGTGTGTGTGTGTGTGTGTGTGTGTGTACACATATATATACATATATATATATATATATATATATATATATATATATATAGGTTTAACACAGGGGTGTGTGTTAAATGTTGGGGGTTTTGTGACATCACCAGGTTAAAGTACCCAATCAGCATGCACTCTGGAGAAAATTATTTAGTGGGGTGTTTCCTATAATATACTGTATTCAAGTCTCTTAAAGAAAGAAGCAGGAAAAAAAGGGTAGCCATGCCATGGATTTTGTTTGGTGTCTGGGGGGCACTGAAAACCCTGCTTTTTGCAGCTCAGCAATGATCCTCTGCTCAAAGGCTTGCCTGCCTGTTTTTAAAGATTGGGCTGATTAAGAGATGGGTGAGATAATTTGATTCCAAGAAGAAAAGATAGGAGGAGGAGGAAAAAAAATAACTGAGAGAAGAGACATTTTTCTCCTTTGGACTTCTCTGGGGATGTTTAGAGAGTGGAGAATAAAGCACTGAGAAAAGAAGAGGCAGCTCTGCATTCTCAAGAGATGCATTTGAAAGGAAAATTTCTCACTCAGCGACGAGTGCTTGATTTGGGGAAGGGGGATAGATGGGAAATGGGAAGAGGTTGGAAGAAGAGCCGTTTCTACTAGCTCCCCACTGGCGTCCTCCCTGCCTACCTTTTATTTTTATTTTAAACATGTTTCTGACCTGCGGGATGGCTCCAGCTGCGGCTTCCGCTGCCACTTCAATGGATTACAATGGAGATTTCCAAGCTGGTTATCAGGAAATCGACGGCATCAATCTGGGTTACCTGCAAATTAACGGCACGAAGATGTTTGCTCTGACCCAGGTCTTCAGCGACCTTTTTAAGGACATTCCTCGGGCCGCCGTGAGCAAAAAAATGGAAAGCCTCAACATCCAGAGTCGCCGGTGCGACCTGAAGGAGCTGCGCACTCTCAAAGCCATCCAGTCGGTGCCAATGCGCGCCGTCAAGTGTTCGCTCATTTCCAAGACCGACCTGGAGGCCCTCTGCATCTCCTGCAAGGCCTTAACCCCCAGGAAGAGGAAGAGGAAGAGGAAAGTCAAAAGGAGGGAAGCCGAGGTCCTGTTCGATCGGCCCCGGTTACTCCCGGCGTATGACGAACCCGATCACCACGCCTTTCGTGCCAGTTTGGATGCAGGCTGCGCCAAGCGCGAAGCGCTCTTCGCAGCTCCATTTGCTAGGAGTTACGAGAAAGCCGCGCCGCCTTCCAAAAGCTACAGCCGGAACGGTAGAGCGCACCTCCTGGCCGGCGTCCTCAACGCTTACCCAGGGGACTTGCAATTCTTACACTCGGCAGTCAGGGCGCACGGAACCGGTCAACCGGCTTGCGAGCCGGAGATCGGGCGCCCTAAGCGCTCCACTTGTGGATGCCTGGCCAAGAAAGGTCGCTCGGCCTCTATCGCCGGCTCCAAGAGGCAAGGTACATCGGCTGGCTTTTCTAGTGATTCAGATTCCAGCGGTGCGTCAAGCCCGGCAAGTTCTAGCGATTCTTCGGAAGATGAGGAGGAGGAAGACGACGACGAAGAGGAGGACGAATCTTCCTGTAGTAGCGAAGACGGCAGCTCCTCCGGATCAGAAAGTAGTTCTCTATGCAGTGGCGATTCCGTGCAAAGCACGCGGTATAGACAGGCCGCCCTTCCCCGCATCCCTCCCCAAAATGCATCTTCCCAAGTCCTCCCCAGTGTGGCCAAAGCACTGCGCCCCGACCCGAACTTGATCTTTTGGGCCAGGACGTTGCGCGCCTCCACTTTGGAAAGTTTCAAGCCGGTTCCCACCACTACGCTTCAGCAGGACAGACCGGAGACTCGGCATGCTCGTTCGGTCGGCCCTAGCGAAAGACCGCAGCCAAAGAACGGAGGCGTCAGGGAGTCGTTGGAGTTGGGTGTCCAGGAAGGCGAAGAGGCCGATTTTCTGAGCATTCCTGATCGTGTCCGAGCCGGCGAACGTGATAAAACCGAGGAAGCTGCGCTTCAGCAGACCTCCGAGGAAGGGTCAGGCAGAGGGGCCCATTTCGACCGGCTCATCAGGCAATCGAAACTGTGGTGCTACGCCAAAGGGTTCAACGTGGATGGGAAAGTCTTGCGCAGAGCCGAGCAGGCCAAAGGGTGTCCCCCCACTTCCAAAGCTGGCCTTCTCAGCCTGGCCAACAGACCGCTGAAAGGAAGCAGCGATTCGGAAAGAGGTGCCAGGAGAAGTCGAGTCGAACAGGCCAAGGGGAGGCCCCCCAAGATTCCGAGGAAGAAGACCCCAAAGGGGGGCGCTCCGCCTTGCAAACGCTTGCTCAGTACCGCTCCGGGGCCTGTAAGGAATCCATTTACTTTGATGGGCACTTTTCCATGTACGCCCGCATTAGTCGTGGGTTCCGATGGGGATCTCTGTCCTGCATCGTCCCTATGCGTCAAAGACTCCTGCATCCTTTCCAAAACGCACCCACTTTGGACCTGGCAGCTGGGGGGCCATGCCATCCCCATGCCTCCCAGCCTGAAATTCCGGGGATATGGTTTTGAAAACGTCTAGATGGAAGATTTTAAATTAGTTTATGTGCAACGATTTGTCTTTGGTAGAGGGAACAGTATGGATGGGAAAGTTAAAATAGAATATATTCTGAAAAGAAAAGGAAAATGATCTCGCCATCTTAAGTACATATACTTGGAAATAACCTTTTTGGGTTCAGTGGCCTTTAATTCCAAGTCAGGTGATAATAGCAATTGATGTTTAAACTCATTTGCCCCAAAGTAAGACTGGCTGAAATAGATAAAAATGTTTTTAAATAGAAAAAGTGCAATCAAATATATAACTATTCAGGAGGAATTATGGGATTTAATTATGTACAAGTGGCTGTAAGTTTGAATCTTAAAAGTTTTCAAAAGAATGGACTTTTTGATTCCCAAATAGCTCAAGTTGTTTTTTAAAAAATCCTGAAAATCTCCATCACATGGCATTTCTGACATTCCTTTATTTATAGCAGTGGCTTTGTTTTAAAGAGCCCATCTAATCAGTAATTCTTAATAAAATTACACACATTTGAAAATATAAATTTAAAATCTTACTTGACAATGATTACAGGGGGCCAAAATAAATGATTAAAAAGAAATGTTGACAGTAAGAGAAAGTAACTTGAAAATAAAGCTGAGTATAAATATCTAACTTTTATGCTTTTAGTTGGGGATACAGTGTTTTTGTTCATATTGCACATTTATATTGTAGGGAGCTGCAATAACAATAGTTAAAAAGAAGAAGATACAGGCTGTTTGGAGAAAATCTGGTCTCCTTTCCTTTTAACATGCAGTAGTTTGTTCCATACTGTGAAATTTGGAAAAGCTGGGGGGGGGGGTGTTGTAGGGAATGAGAAAGTTTCTGGAGAAGGCTCCCCTCCCCTCTCCAAGTGAAAGACCCTTCTATTCTCTCCCTCCCCCATTAGCAGAGTTAAAAGTATGCTCTCTTCCCAGCCCCCAACTTTCTTCCTTAATTTGGAAGAGAAATGGAATGGCCTCTCAACTGCAGCACATTAAACTCATCAAAGGATCACTCCCCTCCCCATTCCATTCACTTCCTGATTAAAACTTAAGCAAAGCCAATCTTATCCCCAATACCAGAACTTTGAGAAAAAGAAAGGTCTCCACAGTAAATTATTCCTCCCCCCTCTTTCGATAAAGAAAAACAGGGCAAAATTATTTTAAACCAAAAGTAGAAGCAAAATCCTTATCTTTCCTGCATGAAGGGAAAAAAAAGTTGTTTAAATTTTTGCAGCTTTTCAAGCAATTGTTTTTTGGTTAATAGATCCCTGACATTAGTAGCCCAAAGTAATATTCTGTTTATTTAAACATTTGCTGTAAAGAATAAATTGGATCCAGGGGTAAATTTGAATGAAACACAGGTGGACAATTTGATCTCCAAAGTAAAATGTAGAAAAGAGGAATTCTTTTGTCTTTGTCAGAGAAAACAAGTGATCTCCTTCCCTCATGCAAATAGTTCTTTATTTCATTTGTAATAAACCCCTTTGTCTTCTAAAGATTTCTCTGTGTCACCAAAATCAAATCATCTCCAAATTCAGATTGAAATCTTCATCTCTGAGAGTACAAAACCTTTATGACTGTAAGAGAGATAGGTATCTCTTCAGTTTCAAAATCTTATCTCAGGGAAGAAAGAGTTCAGTTGCTCCTAAATAGATCTGGCCTTGCTACACAATCCATAAAGACCACAGGCAAAAAAAACGTTGTTTAAAAGTGCAAAACAAATTTAATTAGGAGGTAAGTCCTTCTGGAATTACTGGACCTTAAACCCTTAAGTCTACATGATTTTATCTATAAGTAAGCTATGCATCAACTGACTTTATTCTCAACTGTGCAGTCAAACAGTAACATATTTAGGAATTACAAGCCAATATTTGTCTGCATCTATTATTAAAATAGGCTTTCCCAAAGAAAGGGACAAAATCTTACTGGGATGGCTGAGTGAAATGAATTGATTGAAATGCTAGATTTTATCTAGAAAGAAATTCCGGCACTTTGAATTTTACAAATTGATTTCTAAGTGCAACAATGAAACAAACCAAATATGGAATGTATAGAAATGTGTATGATTTTTAAAAAAAAGACTCATCCAGAACACAATCACAAAAATTCTACACTGCAATTTCTACTATTCCCCATTTTGGTTAATTATATGGTATTTAAATTTTGCAGCTAAATTACACTTTTTTTTTAGGTTGTTATACTATATTCTCATCTACTCGGGAGTAAGAAGGATTGATCTCAACAGAATTTTATTTCTAAATAAACCTGTTTAGGATTACTGGGTTAGTTTTGTTCACCTTATAAGCCTGCATTTTTGTTAAGTGAGAGATGTTTTATTGTCAAAATTGTTCTCAGTGAAGAAAGGGAAATATTCTGGGTTTTTTTTTCAGGCAATGCGGTATCCTTATGCAGTCCCCATTTATTGTGTTTATGCAGAAGAGCTGTCCATTGAATTGTGTGAGTCCCAAATATTTGAAAGCAACAAAGAAAGAATGAGAAAACCTGGTTGTTCCTGGGGGCATTACATAACTTAAAGCTTTGTGTGAAAGAGCTGAATTAAGAATTTCCTGGCTGGCAGCTCTCTCCCCCCTCCCTCCCTCCTTCCCTCTCTCTCCCCTCCCCCAGTTTTGAGCATTTATTTGATATGAATCAGTTTTACTCAAATATACCAAGAATATAGAAAGATAAAAATAAGAGGTTTTTTTTTTGGGGGGGGGGGAATCTAGATCATTATCTTTGGAATTCCTTCATGATGGATTAGAAAAGTGACAGGAAGAATATGAAAGAAAGCAAAGGAGAAAGGGATTTTTTCCCCAGTTGTCTTCACCTGCAAATCCCCCTCACCCAGCCCAGTTATTTTATTTTGGTGTTCAAAATATGAGTTCAGTTTTGCTTAGAATAAAGGAGGGAGTCCCTGTGTTTGCCAAGCAGGATGCAGTATTAGTTGCAGGCTGGCTATTCAAAAGAATGTGGAATTCGAAGGAAGCCAAATATTGACACACCTCTTCAGTTTCTCTCCTGAACTTCTCACTGGGTTTTGCAAATAGGAGCCACACAAATGAAGTGGGGGGAAAAAGATCTAAAATAATCTATAAAGAATTGGTTGAAATGGAGAAAGGGGACCGCTTCCAATCTTATATTTCCACCATAATCCAGTTTCTGTATTCGGGAATAGCTCTGAAGGACCCATCTGTTGTAGGGTATTGCTGCTGAGGAGAGGTGTGGATATGTGGGTGTGAGTGTGTATGAGACAGAGAAATTGCACCCCCGTGGTGCAAGGCATACTTGTTCCCTCCCCAATACAACCAAGCTTGCATTGATTTTCTGCAGACAGCACTGTGTTATACAAACTGCCTTCTAGTTCTCTGGATCAGTTGCAATGTTGCTCACCCCACTCCTTCTTTACATAAAATAAGCTTACCATCTTTATTAAAATATTAGAAAAGTAATAAATAAAAAGAGGCAAGGACAATCGGCAGGGGGAAAAATCATTTTATATATTAAGCCAAAATAACCTCACTCTGCTTCTCAGTCAAACCAACCTGTTCAGCTTCCCACATTCATTCTATTCTGTGTAAAAGATACTACCATGTTCTGTCACATAAACCTCTAGCAAGTGATTTCGAGATGAATTGTTCCCAGTCATTTCAGTAGAGATCCTTCCCTTTTGTGTTGAAATGCTCATACAGTTGCTAGCTCATGGTTCTTAAAAATGAAAATGCCCCTTAAGACATGCAAACATGATGTAGTGGTATTCACACTTGTTTGTACATGTCAGGCAGAACTGTGTATGTCACACAAATACAAATATTAGGAATAGTAAAATCCTGGTATATGTATGTGCAAATTAATGTGAAAAATACATTTTCAAACAATGAAAAGAATACTGAAACTGCACACTCAAGTGAGTTAGTCTGACTGAAACTGGAGACTGATCTTTCTATAAACATGCTGCAGAATTGCTAGGCTGGTTTTTCAGTAATTTATGAAAAACCTTTGTTGATTCCAGAGTAGGATAGTTTAACTCTAAATATTGTGGATGTCTTGTTGCTTATGTGGTTTACAGTACATGTATAGGGCTGCACCTATGCATTGCCTGTAAAGAAACAATTACATAGATACCCAAACATACAAACAATATTGTAAAATTAAATTATCCCTCCACTGAAATGTATATGAGAACAGGTTTTGCAGGTACATCAAGTTCTGTATTTTTAATGGAATGGAGCTGCTTTATGTGTGAGATTTGTGTGGGTGTAAGTGTATAAATCATTGTGATGTATCAGCTTAGACTGTATTCACAATGGATGTTCAGAGCATCAATAGGAATATTTTCACACATGACACAGAATGTACATTTGATCTTGTAAGTATAATGCAAATACAATCCCACATTTCTTAACATGCATAGTGGGTTTAAATCTGACTTTGTTTTTCTATTTTTACCTTCACAGCATTCACATGTATTGCAAGGAGGCTCAGAGTTGTGTATGAAAATCCTTTGTCTCTAATGTCATGTTTTGATACTGCATTCAAAATACTCAGGGCTACTCAGTGAATTATTGGCATGTTTTTCAAAATTTTCTGGGATAGTCTAATTCAATTGATATTAACAAAACTACAACAACTGGATTTTGATCTCCTTGCATGACATCTCAGATCAGACTTCTTCACAGCAATGACGTTTTTTTCTAAATAGATACCATTTACAATATGGAGGAAAAGTGATTTATAACATTTTATGAAACCACATTCCCTTGTATGCATGTGTAAATACTAGTACATTTTTTCATAGAATGTTTTCCAATCAGTTGTATGTTCGAGCCACTAGGCACTCACAATTACAACAGAAATATAAAGTTTCAAAACTTTTAATATCATGCATGTAAACACTTCCTTATAGAGATACAGGGAATTTTTAAAAAGTTAAACTTTAAAGCTTGTTTTCAAAAGTGGACATTAGTGTGATTCCCATGCAATGTTGTACTAAAGTATGGTTTTTAGTTTTGAATTTAAAGGTTATATATGACTTATAACATTATCTGCAAGCCAAGAACCCACGGATTGATCTGCAAATCCTGATTGAGGGTTAGGTGTGATTTCAGCTACACCGTTATGGTTATTTTTATTTCAGGCATATAGATCTTAAAAAGAAACACTAGAGAGGCATTAAAAGTTAGATTTTAGTTAGCCAGGAGAAGCTACAATCACATATTCAATACACTTATAATGGAGTAAAAGATGAGGCTTGTCTTGATCTGAGGTTGATTCCTAGTGACATTGGATAAACAGAAGTGATTTAATGTTTCCTTCTAGAGAGTTTTAAAAAAAATCCAGTGTATCTTATAGATCAGGTTCCAAAAGGTTTGGTTTGAAATGCTTATTTCCTTTAGATCAGTCTGAAATCTTAGAGGAGTCAATTATCAATCTTATTCAACTAAATAAGTTGAAAGTAAGGATATATTTTGTGTTGCATAGTGCAACCTGATGGATGTAAATATGGATAATTGGAGGCCTTTCTTGCTGAAAATTCTGCAGTTGCATTGTTGAATAGGACTTTTTCAATCCCAGGAAATAAATATATTTTAAAGAGGTCATCTGGAGTTCAAATGAATATTTTCAAATCCTGGAGTGTCTGTGATATGCACTGATTTGCTGCTTTCAGTGAAACATTTCTAAAAACATGATTGAATGCCATCTTAAATTTGAATACACTGTTTGGTTTCTTCCAAACTGCTGGCAATATGGCCTCAGATAACTACTGGAAAATAGGCCTCTTATTTTTAAGTAAAGCTGTGTTAAGCAAGATTAACAAATGAAATTATTGTGTGGTCAATACCTACATTGTTGAGATATTGTGGAAAATGACAAACCTTGGAACAAAGCCGTAATCATATGAGAAATTTATTTCTATTTTTATATATTCTTTCTACCATAAAAAATAATCATATGCAGATAGTAAGGAACCTGATATTTGGTTGAGATTAATATAAATTAACAAAAAGAAACATGTTTTTCAGATTAAAAAAGGAGGAAGCATTGTTACTAATTCAGATCTCACATTTCCAGCAAGAAGTTCTTTAGTTTAATTTTTTCTATAGTACAGCTCCTAAGGTAGAGTGCTCACTGATGTTTGGACAAAAGTACAGTAAATGCAAGCTCTCTCTTGGGAACAAGCCTCTCCTATGTCATAGATCTTTCTAGAGGATGATAACCTCTTTAGAATTCACATTGGCCTGTAATGGGAGTATCCCAGATCGGCACAAGATGAAAAAAAAAAGGATTTATCAAGATTAGTAGTACTGTTGAGTCAGCTAACCTTTTATAATGGAAAACTTTCTCTGTAAAAGGGAAAAGAAAACAACTACCTATTGTAGAGTTATTTTAGACTGTAATGTCTCTAGTTTAGAGGGTTTCTTTTCCAGGGATTGTTTCATTGCAGAATAAAGATTCCAAACAGAGTTGATTGGAAGATTTACACATATCTTTTCCAGTTACTTTTACATAGCTGGCTAGATAGCACGAGGTAGAATGAACTTCTGTTTTCATTTAAGTCATTTGAAGCCATTCAAAAAAAAAAAAAAGATGGGAAAATCAGCTTGAAGGAAGCTTGTAAGGATGTAGAAGTCAGGGAAGTAAGGTTGAGTGGTTAAGGGGGAGAGGGAGCATACATCTTCATTGTAAGTCCCCCTTTCTCCTCTGAAATTGAAATTTAAAGATATTTACATTTCTCCATGCCCGAAGAAAGGAAATGATCAGTACCTACAAATAAAATAGCATCCTGTGAATTGGTTTACTAATTCCAGTTGGTTGTATCTGAATTTGAAAGAATTTAGATTGAAGGGTAGAACTTTCATTGGAAAGTTCCCAAACATAATTCTCTGAATCCTATGACCTAGAAACAGGTAAATTTTAAGAAGAATAAAACTATTTTTTCCAATAAACAGTATTTTTCATTACAAATTGATTCTCCCTCTTGACTGTGTTTAGGAAGAAGTGAGAGAGGATTGTCTTGGAACACAGCTAACAAAACAAAAGCACAGTGAACTAGCATTTTCTCCTTTGTTCTGATACAGAAGTGTTGGACCACTGGTTATGATGGAAACTATAATACAACACTACTGAAATATTCCTTATTACTGGAAGATTGTACACAGAAAAAATTATTTTTCTTTGTTATCTTCTTCAAGCTAGCTGGAAGAGAAAGGGAATAAAAGTTGGCTTCATGTAAATGAATTTAAGTTGCATATGCTGTATATAAACTGTATATACTGTTTAACCTTCACCGTGCAATCTGGAACCCTAAGTACATAAAACAAATAAAAATGTATTTTTAAACAACAACAAAAAGTGTGTATTCAACTTTTTAAATAGAGACATTGATTATATCAGACTAAAGAAGGATTTTTCTTTGTGTTAAGTTAGTAATCCCACTTTCTGCTGTAGATATAAAACAAAATGATTGCTGGATCAGGACTGAATTCTTAGTTAAATTAGGTTTGCTTTAACGAGTAGAATTAAACCTAGGCACTATAAAGTTCTTACATTGATCCTGGGATTTAAGCATCACTAAAATGAGATTCAACCCTGTTTTATTTGTGGAAAACATATGAATGTTAGACTAAGCTTTTATATTTCAAGCAACGTTAAATGTTTTGAGACAGCATAAATTTTTGGTACTGGTTACAAACTTGTTTGTATTGAACTGAAATTGAATTGAACATTTGTAGTCCTTAAGTGGTCAAGAATATTGAATTGAACTGAACATTTGTAGTTTTTATGTGGTCAAGAATATTCCAAATGAATTGTGTACAAGATGAATATTTTCATATTGTTTTCCAACATTTAATGATATAATCAACCTCTTACTTCTCACTTTTGCAGAATATTAGAAGAGTTCCAACTTCCAAAGTTTTGCCCTGTAAATATTAAATGTTTTTTTTAGCATTCTTTTTATTAAAACCAATGGTTTCATTACTTCGGTAATACTTTGTTTGTTATGAAGAATCAAATGTGGCTATTTCCTATGTGTGCTGATTTCCAATTCTGTGCCTTGATGCAAAATTTGGGACTAGCCTGTTTCTTGATACATTTTAAGGAATTAAAAATAAAATACTCTAGATGAGTAAAATGTGCATCAGATTCTTTTGTTTTCTGGAAACTATAAAAAATGACAATACAAGGAAACTGATGTTTATAGTGAGTCCATAGGAGAGAAAAGTATGCAACATCATTGTAACAATAGCATGTAATCTCTGTGAAAACAATTCAATATACAGATTTCAATTTGGTGTCTTCTAAGATGTGTAGGATTCTCATAATTCTGATGTAGCATAGCAATTTGCATATCCCAAGTCAATGAAAACTACATTAAAAGTCATGCTAACCTATGATTTAGTCAACATGTATTATTGGGTTTATTCAACTAAGGACGGAGGACTTGCAAGCCACATTGGCCGGGTTTCAAAACCTCAATTAGGCAAACAAAGGGTCACCTCATTTTAGCTTAATGCAATATCTCAGTGAATTTTTAGTAGATTGGGAGCTAGAGGAAATTGATTCGGTCTTCCTATACAGTTGTGAAGTTCATTGGACAATTTTGGAGCCTATAGTTCATATACACGTGTTGCATTTATAAAAGACGCTAAACCATGGTTTGCTTAACCATGGTAAATTGGAAAAAAAACGGGTCTACAACTAAGCATGTGGGGTGTGTTGGAGGGATTGTTTTGGTTTTAAAAATTCATTTTGCAGTAAAGCAAATTATCGAGAGAAAAAGAGAACTAGGTATCTTTACTAACTAAATTAACTTGCTGTAATTTTGGCTTCAGTCTTTCAATATTCTTTGACCCCAATTGTTAAAAGAAGGGATAATCTCTACCTCTGGCTGATAATTATAGTTGTCAAACTATGTAGAATTGTTAGGTTGAACTGCTATATGAAGGAGTTTCTTCTATATAAAGGCTTTTCTCAAAATGAGAAGATAACAGACTGGGGCATTTCCTAACTGATCATACTTTGGTGGGTTTTTTAATAGCATTGTAAATGTTACAGAAGAGAAATGAAATAGTTAAATAGAAATTTATAAACATAGCCACCTGATTTCTACTCCCAAATCTATAGGAAATATTTTTGAAAGTTCTGAATCCTCATAAAACACTTTTCACATCCTTAAAGTTTTTATTTTTATTTTGGAGAAACATGGTAAGCTAAGCTAAAAAAAAAAGAAGAGCTAGAATAGATCTTTTAAGATCTACTTTTGTTTTAAATAGAAGCCTAAAATGTACCAGTCAAGTGATCTAAATAGTGTGGAAGAATTTTTTTGAAAATTCAAGAGCAGTACACCTATCAGAATGCATTTGTTCAGCTGGAGGAAGTTCATTTTTTCAGTTTACAACAGAAGTGCTGATTTTTTAAATTTTTATTTTAAGCTGATTCGAGAAAAACACAGGAACTGCTTTATCACCTCATTATCCACAGGCCTTGTCACTCCCTGTCATCAAGCAGCTTTTTCCTTCCCCACAGGATTCAAAGGACATTTTTACTCAATAGGGAGAAAGGCACAGGTGGGGCTGCAACATGTTGGACAAATAGGAAATCAATATTTACAGTATTAGGATTTGAAAGCAGACATTTGTATCATGGTATTTTGGAAAGCTATTGCCTTTTCAATTTTTCCTCAAATCCCTACTTGATTGGATGAATATGAATCTATGTTATAAGATAAGGATGATTAAGATGGCCCACTTCACATATCACACTGAATTCTAACATGGATTGATTGGTTTTGGTTACTATGTGGCATGAAAACTACCAAGTATAACTTATTCAATAAACTAAGTTTAAACAAAACATGGCTTAACATACATAAATTTATCAATATGAGGTATTCTGAACACACAAAATATATAAATGCTAACAATTGTTATATTTATTCTAATATTAGAAAATAAGTATTTACTTAAACACAGTGGTATTTACTATAAAAAGTAATAGGATGGAAAAAATTAATTTTACTTTGTTTGTAAGGACAATAGTTATGTATTGTTGAAATTTTAAACTTCATTTCAAAGATTTCTGAGATCTATCTTTTGAAAGAAAAGTGTATAATCCAAATCTATCATCCACAACAACATTTTTTTGAGCTGAGTTCCCGCCCCCCTCAAAAAAATTTTTTTTCCCCAAATCCTAATTGAAGAAATTCATACTTTTATTGTATTCTGCTTTGGAACATCTTGAAAATAAAAAGACTACAACTGTAAGATGTGATTAAATGTTAACCCGCCTGGAGTAAAACTTCTAGCCTGGCCACAAATTACATTTTACAACCACATTCCACAAAAGGAGGCTTTCCTATTGAATGCAATGTGTTTAGCAGTCAGGTTATGGCCTTAAATGCAAGCCATCTTTCTGATAGCCAAAGAAAAGGGAAAGAAGAAGACTTGGAGCCCATTGACCTGAAGAGATGCTGCAGAAATGTTCTTCGCTCAGGGAATCATCTATGTTAAGAAGGCCCTCACCTTTTTGCTTTACTTTACTTTGTGGTTTTGATTATTAATTGCAATTTGGAAACAGGCAGGGGAGTAGATTAATATGAGATTTCATTCTATGTGGGAAGTTAGTAAATAAATTTCCAGAACTGTTGGTTACTTATATGGCCACTTTGCGGAGGAAGCATTTTCTGTTTCTTTAACTTTGTCTAATGAATGTCAGAGACATTATTTCCAGAAGGGGAAAAAAAGTTAAGGGAGGGTGAAAGATTGGAGGAAAAAAAAGGAGGGAAGGGGTGCAGATTCCTTATTTGAATGTGTTGTTTAAGGGTCAGTGATAAATTAGATAAAAGCAAGTTAAAAGAGTAAGGCCTTGGAGAGGAGAGAAGGAGAGCTTCAGACACCTTAATCTGGGAGGGGTTGAGGGAACATAGTATAATTTGGGGAGGGTTTTTTTTTTTGAAGGATTACTTCTTAAAAGTCTTCATTTATAATGTTAACATAAAGTCAGTAGAGAAATGGGAACATTGATTTCTGGCTGGGACATGGGAAGTGGTGTCTGTGTTTGCCAACTTGTGTGTGTGTGTGTGTGAGAGAGAGAGAGAGAGAGAGAGAGAGACTCGCTCACACACAAAGGTGCTCACATGCCCTTGGCTGTTTTGGTTTATCAATCTCTGATGAGCTTGAAATGAAAGGTCTCCCTAAACCCACACCTCAGGAAAAGTTCTTTTATTTTCTTGCAGATAACAGAGAGGGTAGAACAGAGGGGGCAGAAAAGAAAGAGGGAGATAAGGAGGGAGGCAGACAGGCAGAGACACAGCACCAAAAATCTCACAACCCCTAACCCTAACTCTAATAATCAGCCTGGAATTTTAACTTCAGGCTGTCAAGGTGCTATTTTTCCTATATCTGTGCTGTTAACATCTGCATGTTAATAGCTCCATCGACTCAGTTTAGGCAAATTGCAAGGAATTTACCTTAAATGAGGCCATATGGAAATAAAAGAGAAAACCAGGAAGGAAATGTCTTCAGAACAAATCTTCAAAAAAAACCTGGATCTCACTGAAAAAAGACCTTTGAGAAAGTTAAGAAAGTTGAGATGATGAGGTTGCTAAGAATAAAATAATGCATTTTTTAAAAATAAATGCCTCTTATTTGTCCCAATTTCCATTTAGTCTGTTTTTTCTTTCTTATCATTCTTCATTCATTGCCTTTTTCTTTTCATTTTAATTTATAGTACTGTTTCGTTTCATTTTAATTTAAAGAAAACATATTGTAACAAAATCTTCCCTTAACCTAAGCAAATTCCAATACGAGTGGGTATATAGCATAATCTTTGGTGTGGAAGGACAATTTTATTGCAGATTAAGAGTTTATAATATATTTTTGTTTGATATTTCTATGGTGCCACAAGATTTGCAATATATCAGTGCAACAGCAAAAAATACGCAATCAAAAATTAAACCAAGTATTAACTGAAAGTCAGATATTAGAAAAAAATGTTCGAATGAGTTCTCCCAGCAGCATAGCTCTATTT